TTTTTAGATAGATCATTGACTTTATCAATATTAGTTTTTAGATAGATTATTGACTTTATCTAAAATTTGTTTAACAATAATTAGCTTGAGGAGAAAAAAAAACATACGGTTTTTTAAGTCATTGTTTCTTATTAATTTTTAAGGGTTTTTAATTTTTTTTCAAAGCATTAAGTATTTTATTTTATTTTGTTTTAATTATTTATTATGACATTTTTTTAGGCCTTTCTTATTGTGGTTTGGCATTACGCCATGTTACAAAAGATTTCAAATTATTAAACTTTATTCTTGGATGCTTTTTATTTGATTCAGAATCGCAGTCAGCTAGCAATATTCGTGCATTCGTTGATTCACAATTATTATCATTTGGATTGGTTTTAAATAGTAACATTTTTGTTGTCACAGACAACGAGAACAAAATGCGAGCTGCATTTAAAGAACGATGTATTCGTGTAGGATGTTCTATTCACTTTGTAAACAAACAATTAGAACACTCATTCACATCACTTGAAATTGATAAACAACCTGTTAAATGTGATAAAGCACAAAATCTTTTTGGTAATGCAAAACGAATTGTTACACATGTACGTCGATCACATCGACAAATAAAGCTAGAAAGAAAATTACAGTTATATTCGGATACACGCTTTAATGGTGCATTTTATATGTTAGAAGTTTTTTTTAATGTTTATGATGAATTAGCTGGTGTTATAAATAAAAATCTAATCGATTCTTTAGGTGCTATTGATAAAGATTTATTAGAAGAATTATGTGGTTTTCTGAAACTTTTCGATCAAGCTATTATTCAATTAAGTGATGAAGATAAACCAACTATACATCAAGTTATTCCGATTCGACAGTTATTAATTAATCATTGTGGAATTAAATATGATGATAGTGATGGACTCAAAGAAGTGAAACATTTTCTTGGTAAGCAAATATTAAGAAATATTGACTAGATAGTTAGCTTCAAGCTAAGTTTTTGTTTTGAAAAAATCTTGATAAATCTTAGAGTTGTTGACATCGAAAAATTTATTTTGCAAAAAAGTTTAGTTTATATTTTTTGATCATAAACGTCGATCTTGTGGAAGAGATTTCGATTCAAATATTGATATTGCTATTTTTTTAAGGTGAACGTATAAAATCAATATGGATTCCTCAAGATCAACATTATATGTCCACCTTACTTCATCCTTCATTGAAACACTTTCATATAGCACCACATGAAAAAAATAAAGCAATTAAATTAGTCAAACAACAGTTGTTGAAACGTACATCAATACCAGTAGTTGTTGCTGCTACTGATTCACAAACAGGAACATCAACTACATCAAGCACATTTAATACATCAACAGCTGTTCCTTCGAATGATTTGTTAGGTCGTTGTTTTGATCAATCTCAACCTGTTGTTAAACTAGCAAATGAATTAGATGATTATATGTTATTAGAAACACAACTTCATGAAACAGACGATGTGCTTTTATTCTGGAAAGAAAATGCTAAAAACTTTCCAGTACTATCATCAATTGTCCGTGATATATTCGCTATACCTGCTTCTAATACAAGTGTAGAGAGGTTATTTTCTTCATCGAAAAATACTGTTACTGATAGAAGAACCAGTCTAGCCGCTGAAAAAGTTAATAAATTGTTGTTCCTTCAAAAGAATCTCTTTTCCTTAGCACAAATAAATGAAAAAATACAGATGCAAAAACAAGAACAGTCGAAAAGAAGATTATCAACAGTTGATGATGAACAGATGTTAGTCTTCAAAAACAGAGAAGATTCAACTTCAACAACATCAATAAAAAAAATTAAGAAAACTGATAGTTGTGATTTTTCATCTGATGATAACTACGATATTATCAACAATATCATTGAATGAAATGAAACATTGTTTGCTTTATATATTTATAATGATTGAGAGATTTAGATATTGTGTTCAACAAGTTCTATTGTTTTTTTTTCTATTTTTTATAAGTTAATTTATAATTACTTTTTGAATAAAATGAACGACAACTCAAAACATATTTTAAAAAAGTCATTATTTGTATGAAATCACTTTTTTGAACCCGGATCCGGTTATAACAAACTTCCAGACCCGGAACCGGACCCGAATATAAAAAAATTTCAGACCCGAACCCGGATCCGGACCCGATTATAAAAAATCTTCAGACCCGGACCCGGACCCGGACCCGAGCGGGTCCGGGTAGGGTCCGGGTCCGGGTCCTACCCGACGGGCTCTACTCGGCACGTCACAAGTGATTAGTGATTTTTGAGTTTGGAAAATATACAGTTTTGTAGCTTTCGAAAATGGCTATCGAATGGTGAAAACCGGAACTCGATAGCTATTAGTATTGGTGAATTATTATCAAAACACCGTGGCATATATCTATCATATATCCATGAGGTGGGCCCATGATCTTGAACACGCTTGGTGCAAGTAAGGAATCAATTTAAAATATCCTATCTAAGTCAGTTTTTCAAGCTGAAAACGAATCTGAAGTCCATTTTCGTGATTTCTGTAGAAATTGTATGTCTTTGTGGGGTAGGATCAATGCTGACTAGGTAGGACAGGCCACAGTGTGGTCCATGCTAACTTGGCCCCTGAGTTTTTTTGTCTTGACAATTTAATGTCAAAAGATGTACCTTAAAGAGATCTATGTCTGGTAAAAAAAGAAGTTTGGGACCGCTTGCACCACTCAAGAAAAGCCCAAAATACTGCTATCCCAGAATGTAGAATTTCTTGAGATTTCGAAGATTTTTGATCTATAGCGTTTCTTTTATCTCAGATATGAATCATCAAAATTGGATAAATTTGTAGCCTATACTGTTCCCTATCTAATGAGATGTGGCCGATCTCAAATGGTCAAACTATTCATGAGAAAATGTCAAAATAGTGAGCACACCCATTTTTAGCGGATTTTTAGGGTCAAAATTGACCCCCTTACACTTGTTTTAGCTCCCATTTTTCATAGGTAAAACCAAATGACCTAATATTTTGGATTTAACTATAGATTGCCTAGACCTATCATTTAAGAAAATAAAATCGAAAAAAAAA